TAATATACTTAACCGCGAAGTCGAATGGAAGATAAAAGGACTTGCAGTTCTTTCCGGAGACGGTGTTATTGATTCATTGACTCGGATCTATAGCCACAGAATACTCAACAGTGTATATATATGTGATATATATCCGGGAAAAAAGTACTCACTTTTTTCCCACGGGAAAAAAGTAATTTATGAAAAGTGAAATTTTATAACCTGCCAACAGAGATGAAATGCCAAAATTTTTCCCATCACAGAAAAAACGGTTTATCTCGATTCCCAGCAAAACTACAAGCCCTTTATATGGCAAAAAGTTGAATAGCAAAGTTGTAGGTAATGAACAGACAATCAGTCACGGTTGAATAATGAAGAACAATCAACGAAAAATTGTAGGTATAGTGAAAATTAAATATACAGGCACAGATCAACATAATCTGTGATACAGGGTTATCAATTAACGTTTGAGTGATGACGTCTGCGACAATTTTTTCACATGGAACAACCTATATATTATTTAAATTTTAAAATCTCCATAGACAGCTGGATTGAAAAATATCACACACAGAGATTTTTACAGTGCGTTCGTTAAACAGTACACTTGTAAAGTAGTGGACACGTCACTTCTCCTATACTACCTATACCGAATTATTGTCACTCTCACTAGGTATTTCGGCTAGGTATAAACATAACAGTTACTTTATTATTCACTTGAATTTGAAATTTCATCAGAATTTCGATTCATCTATTTACATAGACCAGGATATTTTTATATGAAATGATAAGCCCTAGTGTATGTGTGTATTTGCTAAGATTTGAATTTCATAATAAAAGCGTTCTGACAGGTGACAGGTGGCCAGAAAAGATACCAACAAAAAAGCAACAAGGAACAAGGAACTATATCCCCGCCGAAATTGATGGCACGCAAATAGAAGACTCCATAAAACAAATACTAAATCTGTCATTCCAGCGAGAAAATAATAATTACTCTTGTTTATATAGCTCGGCGTTTTTTACAACCAGTGTTGCCGTTTCTGAATATCAATTTTTATACTAGATTCCGAAATTCAGGTATATTGTACTAAACACTTCAAAATTTACAATTCACACATTTGATGAAAAATTCCATATTCATTTATAAAATTTAAAAATTATGAAACAATAAACTAATAAAAGCCGAAAATGAGAGAGAATATTATGAAATGAAAAGGAACAGATTAGATTACAGATTGAGATCAAATACTATCGTTATATCAATAAGATAAAATAGATGACTCAAACTTCAAAAACAAATCAATTCATCAATAACAGCTCATTGATTTTCCGTTGATGAATTGGAAATTATTGACTTTCTATCAATGAGGGCTTCATTAATAACATATCTTTTTCTGGAATGGGGATCCAATAACTTGGTAGATTTCAATGCAAAGAAAACACGAGCATGCCTTTTCTCTAGAAAAGCCGATCTCACTGTGCCCAACATAAGCTTGTCAGGAGTATATAACCATACCTTTGAAGACATCCATTTCGATGCTTGGTATTACTATCAGCAATAACCTTTCTTGGGAAAATCACGTGAGATCTATTGCAAGAAGTGCATCCCAAAAACTTGGTTTTCTGTTTCGGGCCAGGAGCAGATCCGACCTGTCCTGGAATACTGTTCCCATATTTGGAGTGCTGCACCCAAACATACCCTGAAACTGTTGAATTCGGTCCAAAAAATGGCAATTCGTCTCGTGGGTGCGATGCCTCGTTCACAAACTCACTCACTTCTCTGGAACACCGTAGAAAAGTTGGCGATCTGGCTCTATTGTATAGATATTTTCTGAAATATCAAAAATTGTTCCTCCCTTGGCAGTCCCCGCGAGATTAACCCGTCGAGTTGAGGCTTCGCACCCCTTCGTGGTCACTTTGGAGACCTGCAGAACATCTCTTTCCAAAGATTCGTTCATCCAAGGAACAGCGAGGCTCTGGAACACATTGCCAAGGGAGGTGTTCCCCGAGGCATATAACCTCCAGAAATTGAAGAAGAACACTAATTCCTACCTTATTTCCCTTGGTTCTCACGATGTTCTCTGAACATTACAGGATATTCCTTTTCGTGGGAACCAGAACATAAGAAAAAATAATAGCCCCCATGGGGCTATATCCGGCTCTTGTTTCAGTACTAGATTACTGTTAATTGTATTAACGTACTAAATGTGTATGAAATGTACTAGAAAAGTACAATAGTACTAAAAACGGCAACTATGTTTCCAACCAGCAAACTGTCTCAAGGAAATATATTATGACGAGAGCGTTTTCGTCAAGCCCTCCACCAACATGTGTGGACCAAATGGCCCTTCTCTCTTTCTCTCTCTCTCCATGTCTGTCTGTGTCGGTGCGTTTTTGGCCTCTTTGTCCCGTCACCAACAACGACTAGCACTATTCTCGACGACTTGACACTTGTTCCTTTCATGTCGAATTCCGTCCGGCAGTTGATGTGTTGTTTCGAATAATATATTCGCCTATTTTAAGAAACCGCTGTATTATTGGTATATTTCGTAAGAAAGCATAAATACGCCTAAGTCAACACAACTTTCCGTAAATATACAGGGTGTTTTCAAAACATTTTCTAAAAATTCTTGGGATGATTCTGTTGATTCTATCCAGGTGGCAGTGGTCGAGGGCTAACAGTGACCGCAGTAATTGAAATAAAGACTTTTAGGAACTGTTTTAATCTCCGTGAAATACGAGAATACATACAATATAATATTTTTGTTACATTATTCGCCATGGCTTCAACCTTAACGAAGAATCAGCAGTCAATTTTCGTTTGCTTCACTACTCCTCTTTGAATTCGCAATTTCTTGCACACGCTTCCTGGGCCCATAACCTGTTGATTTTATCCAGGTGCCAGTGGTAGAGGGCTAACAGTGGACACAGTAATTGAAATAAAGACTTTTAGAAACTGATTTTAATCTCCGTGAAATACGAGAATACATACAATATAATATTTTTGTTACATTATTTGCCATGGCCTCAACCTTAACGAAGAATCAGCATTCAATTTTCGTTTGCTTCACTACTCCTCTTTGAATTCACAATTTCTTGCTCCCGCTTCCTGGGCCCATAACCTGTTGATTTTATCCAGGTGCCAGTGGTAGAGGGCTAACAGTGGACACAGTCATTTGAATAAAGACTTTTAGAAACTGATTTTAATCTCCGTGAAATACGAGAATACATACAATATAATATTTTTGTTACATTATTATTTTCTTGTTTTAAGCAACACCATAACAACATAAAACAACCGACATTTATAACTCATTTTTTCTTCAGGCCTTCCCTGCCATACACAGAGTGATACGAGAAATGAGTAACCTTCAATATTGTAATAAAATATTTGTCGAAAAATGCTTTCCAAGGGAGGCTACACCTCTTCAAATAGGGCACCCTGCTGAAGACTGTTTTTCTTCAATATTTCCGAAACCGGTTATTAAAAAATCATGAAGCACAAACTTTTGATGCTGAATCAAAATTTGAGCTCAGAACAGTAAAATTTTAATCAGGGGCGTACAAGACTGGAGGAGAAGGGTATAAAAACAATCCCAATTTTGATTTGTATTTTTATTATTCACATTATGCTGAAGGTCAATAGGTATCAAGGGCTATTAGTTTTTGACAAAATTCAAATTTTCTGCACCGTGTTGAGGTACTTAATTTGAAATATTGAAATTTGGTACACTGCAAAAGTCAACGCCATATTAGATCATATCGGGTTGTTCTTACC